GGAGCCGGCACGGCTGGTTCACCGTGTCTGCAGGGGAGCCCGGCTTCGTGCCTCCCGCGCCTGCTTTGCACACATAAGAACACTTGAGAAGCGTACGGGGTTTTATTGCCGCATGACAATAACGTCCATGCAGCCGTGCCCGGACACCGCGGGGGCTCGGCAGGGGCTGAGTTGTGCTGGACAGGGTGCTCAGGGTGTCCAGTGAGAGCGTTTGTGGGTCTCACTGGTCTGTGGGTCTCACTGCGAGCTCAGCTTTCACATCCCACCAGGTCCTGGCAGGTATGATGGGGGTGGATGTCCCTGTGAATGACAGACACACAGGACATGGCCAGATGGTCCCTTTGCTGCAAACCACGCTCCAGCAGTGCCGGCACAGCACAGCACCTCCACCCCAAACCCCTCTGCCCCAGCAGGGGCCAGGGTTACATTTTTAAGTCTCAGGGTCAGATGTGATGCAGCCGTTCCTTGTGCTCCAGGGAAATGGGATCAAAGTTTCCGGGTGCCGCTTTCTCCCTTTACTTTGGCGGCTCCAGGGTGTAGCAAAGTGCCATTGAAGATGGGAGGACTTTCATGTGGGGATTTCTCTTCCTCAGATCTTCAAAGAAATCCAGCAATCAAACAGGTAGTAGTGAAGGCACATTAAAAAAAAAAACAACCCAACAAAAAAAGCCCTACTTTGAACGCATCACATGCAAAAGAAACTCCTAAACTTTGTTGTGTTAATTGTTCCGGCACTCAAAGTAATGACAAAATGGCTTAGAAATATTGTTGGCTCTGGGCCCACGATGTGTCAGACAGGCACAAAAATGCTCAAGCAGAAAACCTGAGGGGAAAAAAAAACCCAAACCAACAGGAAATTTCTACAGGAAGGAACGACCATGGTGATGAGAGAGCAATGACAGCCTCAGGGCTCCTGATAGGAAAACCCAGAGCACCTGCGGCATCCATCGGTGATTCCTTGAGCCGCTCATGCCCTGGGCATCATTAGGAGTTGGTCACTAACGAGGGCAGGTTGCAGCCCTGTCGTCATCTCCTTTCCACCAATATGAGACCAGTTTCTCCCAGTTACATGCAAATGGCTTTGCTGCAAGCTGTCCCCGGGGGTCACAGGCGTCCTCCCCCCACGGGAAGACACACGTCTCCCTTCCCACACCGCATCCCCCCGAGCCTGCTCCGCCTGCCCCGCTCCGAACCCAAATATGGGCTCGGCGCATCCGGGTTCCCCAGCACAAGCCTGGGCAGGAGCACGGCACTGCGGGGTGACTCAGGGCCCCGGCAGCTCCCCGGGGCCAGGGGAGCGCCCATAGCTCCCCTCTGCAGGGAAACCAGTCTGGCCTGGGAGGGAGCTGCTGGGAGAGGCAGCAGAGCCACTCGCTTCCCCTCCTCCAGCCAGCTCGGCCCAAAACCACCCTTTTCTCCCCCTTTCCATGGCACACAGGCCCTGGGGCTGCTCGCGGATGTGACACGGGGATGTGGCTCCCGAAACTGCCCCAAGATGAGCAGGGTTCTGCAGCACGACTGGGGTGCAAGTGACCCACTGAGACACAGCCACACCGTCCACTGCAGCCCAGCACCTGAAAAATCCCTGGAAACGCCCAATTTTCATGCCTGAAAATTCTCTGCACCTGAAAAATCCCTGGAAATGCCCAATTTTCATGCCTGAAAATCCCCATCCCTGCCCACTGGCAACATCCACAGCACCAGACCCCGGGGTGCAGCCCACAGGGATGCACCAGCTGCTCCCAGTAAGAAACCAGCACTCCCAGGACCAGCAAGAGAGGGTCCAGGCTGCCCCCCCAGCAGCAACGGTGCTTGCTGAGGGCTGGCTTTACCTGGATAACCCTTGGGACGGTGACAGGGGAAGCTTTCACTGGGCTGGTATAGGACAACATGCAGTGCTCCAAGCACCCTGACATCACCCCATCATCCAGGACAATTTATTTTTGGATGTTTCTCCCCATTTCCCTCTCTCCAGCTGCCACACACCGAGGCAGCGGTGGCAGTGAATGCAGCAGGCCGGCTGAAGTCACCCCCAGAAAATGGCATTTTTCTCAGCAAAATGCCGCTGAGGTCATTTGCACCCGCTTCAAACACCCACGGGGCGGGGGACTGCGGGTAGCAGAGGGTTTGGGAATCCTGGGGATGAAAGGGCTG